TTTTTTTATGGGATGGGATGCGGGCCGTAGGGGTTATCTCAGTCTCATCCCATTCATAAACAGCCCTAATTTAAAGGAAAAAATAACAGTTATAAATCATAGATTAATTTTAAATATACAAAAAAGATATCCTTAAATTTTGTTCAAAGAATTTAGATGTCTGTCGTCATAAAAATTCTTAGCTTCCACTCTCAAATTTATTTGGGGCCTGAAATTTCAGGGTTTTGCTCAAAAACACAAAAAGGAGTAACTAAAATTTCAAAATTTTATAATAAAAAATTTAGCCCTTATATTTTCTTAACTCAAGACAACACAATTTTTATAACGCTTCCACTTAATAAACTGCAAAAACTGAGTTGTGTCTTAAATCAAAGTTTATGGACTTGATCAATAATTGAGAGAAAATTTATTTAGAGACTTTAAAGTCACATTTTTCGCTTAAAACTATATTGTTCCATGATCAGCAACATTGATTTTCCCAATATAAAGTAAGGTTAGGAATGCATTTTACTCTTTCAGTCTCATATTTATATTTGCCGTTTACCCCACTAAATACATAACATATATTTTCAACTATTATTGTCACGTCCATAAAAAAAAACAGAGATAGAAAATCTATTTTGTCTTACGTTGGTGCCCCTAGCTACCTTGAAGCTAAATTGCAGAACTTTCAAAGTACTACCATCATCCAGCTGTGTTAACATATCCTCTTTCAGCTATCGAAATGGACTCTGCTAACTGCCAAACTAACTCACTTATAACTAACTGGACTAGGGGCCCCAGTCGTGGGAAAGTTCCCAGCTTGCGAGTCCATTTACGACACCCATATATGAATGTCGTTTTGCCTTACTCTCTCAATAATGCATTGATTATATATCATCGTTTTCCACAGAAAAAACAAGGCACACCAAGAGCTAGTCTTTAAGAAACCAACCCGAAAGTTCCCAAAACATTTGAGAAAGATCAAATGGTTCAAAATTTACATTTTTATTCTTTTTTCTTTAATAAAAACGGCTCCTGTAGATAGTAGTAATTTCTGTAATAGAGTCATTTTAAAATAATATTAAGAATAGTACGATATAGTATAACCGGTATATCTCCATATACAATTGTGCAGAGTAAAATAGGAATAGTCCCCTTTTCAGGGTGCAATTTTGTCCTAAAGATTTTTACATAGGAGCCGTAGTATAAGAAAGTTTTGTTTTCTTCTTTTAAATCTCTCAAATGTGTTAACGAAAGAGCAATATTGCCTCTGATTATTAAAAATATTAATGGTTAACATTAATTTTTTAATTACCAATGTTAGATCTTTTTTAACGGTTATTAGGGTAAATTTGCTCCTTTTTAAATATATTTAGGGTGATATATTAATCCGCAAAAACTTTTTGGGTACTTTGGAAATTAAAAACTCCTGTGAGTAAAATTAGACCTTAACCCTTGTGTTATCTTTAAAGTTCTATGGAAGGCCTTGCATCTGGATTTTCTTTAGCCCAGCAACCCAATTTGAATGCAGTTAATCACTTCATTATATGATCCAAATTCTTTTATATGTATTTGAATCCAATTAGATGAACAACTTTTCTTCCTTCATTGCTTTCCAGCCTGCATAACAATTATGCACCACTATATTTCAATCATAATAATAAAATGAATACTCAGTCCGAAAAAAGACAATATGTGTTGTGTGTACCAAGAAAAAGAAGATATCCAACAATACTCATTTGTCTTCGTCCAAAATTTCTTTCCGTATTTCATAATTTTTAACTTATAATTGTCATATCGGGATTTTCCGTGAAAGGACTAAATGCATGAATAAAAATTTATGAAGGGTCAAATAATATAGTAGAAATACAATGAAAACATCTTATTACTTTCATGTTGAGTAGGGGCAAAGTCATAATTTTCAAAAACTTATGGGTGGAAGGACAGTTTTAAAAATTTTGCCTAAAAATTAGAAAATCCTCAAAAATTTATGGAAGGTAGAGAAAAATGTCTAGAACCATATTTGAGACTCAATTACGATAAAAAGAAAAGAAAGACATGTGTTGAAAATAAATTTTGCTTAACGTTTACAATTTTGGTTAATCAAGGTATAATTAGGAAAACTAATTATGATAATACCAGTAAGACTCATCAAATCATTGGGTAAAAATGAGGAGAAAATATTTTAGGATTAAACTGAATTTACAAAAATGATTTCATGCCCTAAAAACGGAAATCTTATTTAATAGAATATTTTATGTGGCTTTATCCAAAAATAGGGTAGTTTCTTCAAAAAAAATAAAGGAAAAATACTTAAAGTCCAAATTTTGGCTGAGAAAAATTATGAAGATACTCCCTGATAAATTTGAATTATTTATGATCTCACCGTAGTTATATGATTAAAGAATATTCAAAAAGCATTTGTAGTGGATTAAACTCATTATTTAAGAAGTTAAAGTAAGGTGATTGGGGAAGGGACAATATTTCTTTATCTAAATGCGTACAAATTCGCCATATATAGATTGTTTTATAAATATTAAAGCTTAATCTCTCTTGTACTGTATATAAGTTGTTTTTAAGTAACTCACTAAACCAAAGTAAATTAGTTGAAATAACAAAATTGTCTTAAAATTCAATCACTTCTAATTTTTGCCTCTCTTAAATATGATCTTTAAATATTTTTATATTGCACTTGGAATGTGCTGGAAATCATTTCTGAAATAACCAATTCAGTGCTACAGAGAAAAGCAACGAAAAAATATATATTAACTATGACATTTTTTTTAGAACATATCTAATTTATAGGATTGGACGGAGCACTTTGCAATTACGTGTTAATGCACTAGAAAGCAGCTCTAGTATAAATTCCTTGTTTGAATTGAAGTGTTGATTTCATTCTCAGAGTTCTAAGCAATAAGAGTGGCGTCTCTAACGTTGAAGAAGACAAATATTTATTTATTATGTCTGCAATTAAAGAATGTCATATTCTTCTTTAAATTATTAGAAATCACGGTTTACTCGTAACAAGGTTATGACTTATGAGTTTCAATATTAATTAATTGAGATTCTTAAGGTGTCCTTCACATGCATCATCATAATAATAAGAAAAAAGACATTATATCATAATAGCTGCCTGATATATAAAGTTAATATTTTTTTCGAAAAATGTTAGCCTTGATTCTTCTTCATTGTTAGCTACGCTTAGGGTTCAATTTCCAAAATTATTGAAAGAATATTTTAGTTTTTGGCCAGTCATATATGCATATAAATATACGTATATCTGCTATATATAGCGCTCATTAAAGTATAAAAGACTCTTCGCTTTAAACAATAACATAGTGACCTTCTTTAATTGAGGCGTCCGCGATTTGCGTAACAGAGAACAAGACGAAATATTTTTCAGCGGCCATTCACTCCAAGTTGTTTTCTTTTGACACAACGAAAATTGTTAAAATATGTCAAAATCTATACATCGATCAATTATTCCCTTTCCCTTGCCTGAGTCATACTAAACGTATTCAAAACGTACTTTAAGGTCTTGTTTGGTTCAATGGAGGGGAGGGGATGTTGATGAATGCGATGGGAGAGGAGGAGAGAGGAGCTTATGAATCTTGTTTGGTTGGACGAGAAGAGAGTGGAGGGAAGGTTTCTTGTTTTGTTTAGGAGGAGAGGAGGGGGGCTAATTATAAGTTAACAAACATGTCCTTATCTCTTTATTTAGATTTTTTATTATTTTAATACAATATTTATATAATAATAATTATTTTCTAATTTATGGATATAAAAAAAATCAGCTATCTTGAGACATACCAAATATATTATAAATAATCATAGATCAAAATAAATGGCAATCAAAGAAGTATATTATAATCTTTAGCATATTATATAAATTATAAATAAATTTAGGGTTAATATAATCTTTGGTCTCTCAAGTTTGCCTTCATTTTGGTTTTGATCCCTCAATAGGCAAAATGGTCTAAATTTTTATTGGATTATGAGAATCAATATTTTAAATGAAAAGAAACTTGAAGAATCAGAACCTATGATTTGAAATTTGAGGGACCAAAATCAAAGTGAGGGTAAATTTAAAAGACCAAAGTTTGTATTAAATCATAAATTTATGCAACAAGCTTTGAAATATTCTATCCTTAATTAAATAACATGCGCGGCCTCATGTGCTTAATTGGATAACACACAAAATTTTGTGTAAAAATATGAAATTGAATTAAAATAGGTATATATGGACACGAATATCAACAAATTTGGTGATTGATAATATTATTTTAATGGATCTCAATGACTCATATGAACCAAAAAACAATAGCTTCATATAGAATAAATGAATGAAACAAAATACTGATAATACTAATAAGATAAAGGAAGTTGGGGAACAGGCTAGAGGAAAAGATGAGGAAGATTAATGGTAGAAAGCGTGGGGAATGATGAAATTGGAAAAAGAAAAGAACATGTGAGGAGTTAAAAAAAAAAATCTATAGAGGAATTGTAGGCACTGAACAGGAAAAAGAGTGAAAAAATAGTTTTTACTAAAAAAGATAAACTATGAATATCCAAAAACTAATATAGGTAATTTGGTCGGGATGAGACATAATATTTTTTTTCTCTTTCAAAAAATCCCAAGTCTAGAGGGGAGAAGGAGTGGAGAGGAGCATAAAACAAATTTTTCCCCCCATCCCTTCCATTTTTTTTCCGAACCAAACAGAATTTCTCCTCCCTTCCCTCCAAAAACCTTCCAACCAAACAGTGCGTAAGATTATTTTTAAAAAAAAAAAAAAAAAGGCTTTAAGACTATTGACATGTTCTTGTGCGTCAAGGATGGGTAATGTGTTGATCGGTTATAAATATCATCAGTCAAATAAAAAAAATAATATTGACGTCAATCTATGTCGTTTTCTTCTACAACTAACAAGAATTGTCTATAAATACCTCGTGGATGAATTCACTTCCATGCAAGCTTATTTGAGGTTTCATTTCTCAGTAACTGAAACAGCAAAATAAGCATGGCTTTCTACTCTAGTATGTCTCAGTTTCTTTTTCCCTTGATCTGGTATTCTATTCTGATATGTCTCTCTTCAGGATTCCCTACCAGTGAATCATCAGTTTCCCCTTCAAAGGCTGAACAAGACTTTGAAATGTTCCAGCAATGGATGGCGGAGCATGGAAGAGTCTACGCAAACTCTGAAGAGAGCAACACTAGATTCCAAATATTCCAAAGAAATCTCAAGTACATCACTGTGACAAATGCCAAGAGATCCAATTCCTCTGGTGCCGATCGTTTGGGACTCAACAAGTTTGCTGATATGAGTCCTGAGGAGTTTAAGAGAGTGTACCTCCATCCCCTGGAGGTTCCGACCACCATCGCGCCAGGTACCTCGAGGTCGGGACATAGGCAGCACAACAATACATGTGAAAATGCACCTTCTTCCATGGATTGGAGACAGAAAAGAGTGGTGACTCCTGTCAAAAACCAGAAAAGATGTGGTGAGTTGCTCTTGTTTATATATTTTATTGAAGAACGTAGAGTTAAAATACATGCTATAAGAGAAGAACACAAATTCGAATTCTGAAAAGCACATTTCTTAGGAGAGCTTTAATCTTAACGCTTCCTGCCCCAACAAAAATTAGTCCCTATTCTTGAGGATATTCTAAGTTATATTTATATAATTCTTTGGAACCTCAAAGGGCTAATACCTTGATTAATGTTTCATGGTTCAGGAAGTTGTTGGGCATTTGCAACCACTGGGGCAATCGAATCAGCGAATGCAATAAGAAACAGGGAACTTGTTCGCCTTTCTGAACAAGAACTTCTGGATTGTGACCTCACCAACCATGCTTGTTCAGGAGGATTTCCCGTGACGGCCTTTAAATGGGTTGTCAAGAATGGTGGGCTCAGTAAAGAAGATGATTATCCTTATGTGGGGGAAAAGGGTCATTGCAAAGCTGAAAAGGTTTGTTTCTTTAGTTTGTGGAGATTTTCAAGTATATTTATATATCTTTTCCTCATCTGATTTGTGCTTTCCTTATGTTCGTTCAGAAAAGTGTTGTGAAAATAAAAGGCTATGAACGTGTAAAGCAGTCGGATCATGCTCTCTTGTGTGCCATCGCTAATCAACCCATTACGGTGGGTTTGGATGCAACACCACTTCAATTTTATCAGGGCGTAAGTCTTAAGCTTAATCTTCGATCAGTCTTTTTAGTTTTAAATTCGATGGTTAATTACATAACCATCAATCTCATAAATTTTTTCTAATTATTTTTGTTTTATTATTTTGCCAGGGGATTATTGATGGTGAAAGTTGCCCCATGGGAACTCAGCCAAATCATGCAGTTTTGATCGTGGGATATGATTCGAAAGATGGCAAAGATTATTGGATTGTGAAGAACTCATGGGGAGAAGATTGGGGAATGAACGGATACTTCTTGATTCAAAGGAATTCGAAAGCACCAAACGGAGTTTGCTCTATTAATACTGCCGCTTCATACCCAATCATATAGATTAGTACCACTAAGTTGCCGTCAATTTCTGATTTGGCGTTGTTATAAACTCTAAGTATGTCTACCCTAAATTTTAAATAAAGAGTCAGAAACTATTGGTTATAATATATTTATGTATTTACCATCAGAATCCTACTCAGACTTATCAATTTTACTTTTCATAGCATATTACTTTAATTTTAATAAATAATGCGAATCTATGAGAAAATATGCGTATCTTCTTCTTCTCACCCCCTTTTCTGTACAAGATAAGAAATGTGCGCCTTATTATACACACCCCTCTCATTCCTCATAAGTGGTTTATACCTAGTTTTTTACAAATCTCAAACGAATAGGACACTGACAAAGTTACTTTAGGAACATATAATTTGTTCTATTTAAAATAAAATACTTCAAAAGCCTCAATAACTATAGTAGATCGTTCGTAAATATAACATAATAAAATCATTTAATTAGCAAAACTAAAAACAATCATTTGGACATACCCAACGGAAGAGCATATTTCATGCTCATCACAATAATGAACATGGAGTGTTCATCGCAATCTGGACCATCTAGATCAATTATTGATGGTTCAAATTGAATTTAAATTTTTTATATATTTTAATCAATTTTTTGTTTCAATAGATACAGAATTTAACATAAATATAATATCATAACTAACATATCTTTAAAAAATAAATTTATTATTGAAAAAATTGTACATTAAAAATTTTAAATCTAAATCCTCTATATTAGATTTTGGATGGTTTAGATTGCTCATAGTGATATATGGTACTCATCATTGTGACGAGCACATGGTACTCATCATTGTGACAAGCACTGAATGAAGACCCATACCTGAGTTAATCCAAATTGAAAGCCAATCAACAGGGATCTGGATTAAGTAAGTTTTTGTTATTAAGTTTACTTAGTCTAAATAAAATTATTATTATAATTGTTGTTGTTGTTATTTATAAAATTTAAATTATTTAATTTTAAGGGTTTGTTAGAATTAGGAGTATGCATGGACCATACCAGACTAGGTTGATGCTCAGCCTGAGGTCTTGGTTTGATAAAGGCCTCAGGCTACATAATGCAGCCCATGGTCAGGTCTAATCTAGTACAAACTTGAAGTTAGGTTGGACCGGACTTAGTTCAGTGGACTGCTTGGGCGCCGCGGCAGATATGGTCAGGAGCTGTAGTGCCTCACACAGAAGTACACTCCTTCCTCTCTGTTAGAGCCGCCGTGGCATTTGTTTCCATACACTGCAGCGGTTGGTCTCTTTTTAGTTCTCCACTCCTGGTCTCTATTCTTTACTCGCTTCAAGCTTTTTCCTGCAAAATTGACTTCCAAACCAAATAAAAGAGTGCTAAAACAAGTTGAATAAGTAGGAATTTTTAGAGATTATCACACCCCCAAACTTAGACTTTTGCTCATCCTCGAGTAAAACAACAAACTAGCAACTAAGTAACAAATTGCACATCAAAGATTGTAGGAACAACTATATCCTCATCAAATGGTCAAGAAAATATACAGGACAGGAAATTACTGAATCACCCAAAGAAACAAGTTTCATGAGCTTAAAAGAAACTTTCAATGATTTTGGAGTGTGAGTGTGTGTATAGAGTCAATGAACATCTCTCATGATAATGTCTCAACAGAATGTGAGACTTTAGCCAACATACTAACCTTCAACCACATACTTTCATAAGCCTAACTCCTTCTCTCTCTCCGCCTGCAACTCACCCCATATAAATTTGAAATCAAAGGGACTTTTCGGCTTATAACGTGGCCAAGAGGTGATAATTTAGAAAAGAAAGGGAAAATAGAGTATACAAATACTTTGAGATAAATAGATATTCATAATCAGAACTCACTTCAACCACTTTCATTCTCCTAAACTTGTACCAAAATTTATTCTTTTTTTTCTTACCAACCTTTCATGGAGTTGTACTAAATATTTATATGCCCTTCTCTTTTTCTTTTTCTTTTTCTCTTTTTTTTAACATTAAAAAAAATAACTCACAGCTTAGTTTCTAATACTTTAAATTTCCAAAATTTTTCCATTACCCTTGCCAACCTTTCAAAATCTCAACATCTCATCAAACTCCTTATCCTTCCAACTTTCATTTATCTCAAAGCTAGGGACTTCATGGTTTTTTCTCAATTGGTTTTGGGTTAAGAAGAGGTTAGGGTTTGAAACAAAACGTAAACATATATACACTTTTTTTTACGGCTTAAAGTACGGGTTCAAAGGACAAGATCTTTAAGGTCAGCTTGAAAGGCTCAAATGCATTTAAGAATTGCCCTAATCCTTTTTCAAATTCATATAGAACAAACCATAAACTTTGAGAAATCAGAAGAAGGTTCCAAAGCAATTTAGTTGAAATAAAAGTATAAAAACTCAATTATCCACTCAACCTCAACGTAATCACTTGAAATGTCTTGACCCTTTTTGTGCATTAGTTTCTCCAAAATTAAAGAAACACAGGTTTTAACCTCACAATTCAAGCATCAAAGAGCAATTCAAAACTTCCTATCAAGCATAGTAACTAAGCATTTTGTTTAATTATTGGACCATTCATACATTCTCAACTAACAACTCGCCACTTCAGCTCATCCTTCATAAAACCAAATGAGCAAAAATTTAAGCTAACAAAATTTCTACTGTTTTAACTGTTTTCTCTTTTTTTTAAAAAAAAAAATTTACTCAACAAAGTGACCTTTCAAAACTTTTCAAATTTAACCCTGTTATCCACAAAAATCAATCCTCACCCCCAAACTTAAAACTAACAGTGTCCTCACTATCAATAAGAGTAAGTAAAGATCAGGGCATGCAGTCAGAATCCAAAAACAATATATCCGCTGCATGAAAGGTCAAAATTGGCTTTGCTTCCTGTACAAGTATAGCAATATGCACAACTATCAACAATATCACTATCAGATAACCACAATGAAATCAGCAATTACTATTGGTATCCACAGATTAATCAATGAAAAGATCCGTTAACAATACACATATTCAATCAGTTCTCAGTAGTTAACGCAGTTATAATAAACAATGACAGATACTGTTTAAGAGTTACAATCAATCCAACAGGCCATCAGTAGCCTTTTCAGAACCAGAAAAGCAAATAACGACACACAAAATAGAGCAAGACCCAAGAAACTACAAGAACACAAACAAAAACAAAAGCAACAAAACAAGCAGCAACAGCAGCAGAAATGGCCCCAGCTAGGCATCCTCCTCCTCAGACTGCTGACCCCCTTGATCCTCATCACCCTCTGCAAATGGATCGACGGCCATTTCATCTCCTGAACCAATACCAGCACCAGACGTTCCTGCTTCATGTTCCTCTCTCGGTGACTCTGCCTCAGTGCTCATATCTCACACATCCGGCGTGTCAATGTCCAATTTCCTTGCCATCTCGACTAACAGTTCCTCCATTCGTCTCTATCTACGTCTCTTGTGACCTATCTCTCTGTCCAATTTCTCGTAGAGGAGATCCAAGCTTCGAGTGGTAGGGTCGGCACTGGCACTGGCTTGAGCTTCTTGTTCCCTCCTATACTCCTCGCAAAACTGTTCAGCATACATGGCTTCAGTGATCCGTTGCTGTTCTCATTCAGGAACCAAATTGGAATAGTTGAATAGTGAAACCGGCTTGAACTTTTGATCTTTTTCTTTCCATTCTACCTCTGCTTTAGTTAACAAATCCGAGATGAGGTGAGGCATGACTAGATTGGTGTTGTGGGCTCTACTAGCATCCCATATGGCATCAAAAATCAATTTCCCTACATTTACTATCACTTTGATCATGAATAGATATATCAGAAGTGCCAGATTCCGCTAGGCTTCACTAAGATGAGTGGTTGGCATAATGTTCCTTATGACAATATGCAACCAGATTCTGGCCTCAAGTATCATGTCCTTTTGCATAATATAAGCCTGGCCCCTCTTGGGTCTCACCCACATCTCCTCATCAGAACTAGTGAGTGTCGCTGAGATTGCTCCGAGAGGAATCTCCTTTCGGTTGCTGAGATACCACTGATATTGGCAATTTTCAACCTCGAGAAGCTCATAGTAATCTC